ATACGGATCTGAATGTCGCAGATCCGTTGACTAAACCTCTTCCGCGAGCAAAACATGATCAACACCAGAACTCTATGGGTGTTCGATTCATCACAATGTAACTAGATTATTGACTCTAGTGCAAATGGGAGACTGTTGGAAATATGCCCTAGAGGCAATAATAAAAGGATTATTATTATATTTCCTTGTTCATGATAATTGTCTTTTATTCATGCTATAATTGTATTATCTGGAAATCGTAATACACGTGTGAATACATAGACCACAATATGTCCCTAGTGAGCCTCTAGTTGACTAGCTCATTGATCAATAGATAGTCATGGTTTCCTGACTATGGACATTCGATGTCATTGATAACGGGATCACATCATTAGGAGAATGATGTGATGGACAAGACCCAATCCTAAGCATAGCACAAAGATCGTGTAGTTCGTTTGCTAGAGCTTTTCCAATGTCAAGTATCTTTTCCTTAGACCATGAGATCATGTAACTCTCGGATACCGTAGAAGCGCTTTGGGTGTACCAAACGTCACAACGTAACTGGGTGACTATAAAGGTGCACTACAGGTATCTCCGAAAGTGTCTGTTGGGTTGACACGGGTTGAGACTGGGATTTGTCACTCCGTATGACGGAGAGATATCTCTGGGCCCACTCGGTAATGCATCATCATAATGAGCTCAAAGTGACCAAGTGTCTGGTCACGGGATCATGCATTACGGTACGAGTAAAGTGACTTGCCGGTAACGAGATTGAACAAGGTATTGGGATACTGACGATCGAATCTCGGGCAAGTAACGTACCGATTGACAAAGGGAATTGTATACGGGGTTTCTTAAATCCTCGACATTGTGGTTCATCCAATGATATCATCGAGGAGTATGTGGGAGCCAACATGGGTATCCAGATCCCGCTGTTGGTTATTGACCGGAGAACCGTCTCGGTCATGTCTACATGTCTCCCGAACCCGTAGGGTCTACACACTTAAGGTTCGGTGACGCTAGGGTTGTAAAGATATTAGTATGCAGCAAATCGAAAGTTGTTCGGAGTCCCGGATGAGATCCCGGACGTCACGAGGAGTTCCAGAATGGTCCGGAGGTAAAGAATTATATATGGGAAGTCATTTTTCGGCCATCGGGAAAGTATCGGGGGTTACCGGTATTGCATCGGGACCACCGGAAGGGTCCCGGGGGTCCACCGGGTGGGGCCAACCATCCCGGAGGGCCCCATGGGCTGAAGTGGGAGGGGAACCAGCCCCTAGTGGGCTGGTGCGCCCCCCCCCCCCTGGGCCCCCCCCTATGCGCCTAGGGTTGGGAACCCTAGGGGAGGGGGCGCCTCCACTTGCCTTGGGGGGCACTCCACCCCCCTTGGCCGCCGCCCCCCTAGGAGATCCCATCTCCTAGGGCTGGCGCCCCCCCTGGGGTCCCTATATAAAGAGGAGGGTGGGAGGGCAGCCGCACCCAACACCTGGAGCCTCCCTACCCCCTTGCTACACCTCCTCCTCCCATAGTCGCTTGGCGAAGCCCTGCTGGAACCCTGCTGCATCCACCACCACGCCGTCGTGCTGCTGGATCTTCATCAACCTCTCCTTCCCCCTTGCTGGATCAAGAAGGAGGAGACGTCATGCTGACCGTACGTGTGTTGAACGCGGAGGTGCCGTCCGTTCGGCGCTAGGATCTCCGGTGATTTGGATCACGACGAGTACGACTCCCTCAACCCCGTTCTCTTGAACGCTTCCGCTCGCGATCTACAAGAGTATGTAGATGCACTCCCCTCTCTCGTTGCTAGATGAACTCATAGATTGATCTTGGTGAACGTAGGAAATTTTTTATTTTATGCAACGTTCCCCAACACCTCCTTGGTCGGCCGCCTCTTCCCCCTTGCTCCTTTATATACGGGGGTAGGGGGCACCTCTAGACACAAGTTGATCCGTTGATCTCTCCCAGCCGTGTGTGGTGCCCCCCTCCACCATATTCCACCTCGGTAATATCGTAGTGGTGCTTAGGCGAAGCCCTGCGTCGGTAGCTTCATCAACATCGTGATCACGCCGTCGTGCTGACGGAACTCTCCCGCAAAGCTCTGCTGGATCGGAGTTCGTGGGACATCATCGAGCTGAATGTGTGCTGAACTCGGAGGTGTCGTACGTTCGGTACTTGGATCGGTCGGATCGTGAAGACGTACGACTACATCAACCGTGTTGTGCTAACGCTTCCGCTTTCGGTCTACGAGGGTACGTGGACAACACTCTCCCCTCTCGTTGTTATGCATCACCATGATCTTGCGTGTGCGTAGGATTTTTTTAAAATTACTACGTTCCCTAACACTAGGCACCTGAGCACCATCATGCCGAGACATGATAGTAATCTCAATATGTACTCTTTTTTCAAACAGCTATGGTATGCAACCGGATACTTGTATTCTAAACTCCTTCTTAATTAATGATTAATTTAAGCATTTTGCCTCTGTTTGAAAAACAATCCCTGACGAAACGCTGCACACAACACTCAAGGAGCCTACACTAGCTGATCTCGCAATGACCCCATCCACACTGATCATAGCGACATTCGAAGGGTGAGGGATCCAACAAGCCGAGCTAGCAGGATCTATTCCGGATGTACTTGATTTAGGGGTGCCGGTTGTGGCTCACAAGGTTTAAGCTCACTGATAAAATGACGTCGAATAGCACGTGATCTGTGGTGTAGAAGACTAACCCACAGACGGGCTGAATTGTGCAAGCCGGAGGACCACGACAACGCTTTACCAGACGGAACCTGGCACACGTCCACACGGCGCTTCTTATTTTACGCTTCAGGCCCCCGTCAGCATACATTTTGTAAATGGGCGCACACGGCCCCTCCACGCTGGGCCGGCCCATCTCCCATTTTGTTATCTGTTTTCTAAAACGCAAAAAAGAGCGCTTGCAGTAACCACGGCGCCACACAACCTGATCTGATAAGTTAGTACTCTTTTTGTGTCCTTTCTTCTTTATTCTTTCCTTTTTTTTCCTTTTTCCTTTTCCCATTTTCTTTTCTTCTTCTTCCTTACTCGATGAAAAAAAAATTAAATTCGTGAAACTATTTTAGCAAATCGATGAACTATTGTCATTTTTATGAACTTTTTATTTTTTTTCGTGAACTTTTTTTGAAAATCGATGATGTTTTTCCAAATTTGATGTGTTTTTTTCAATAATGATGAACTTTTTTCAAATTTGTTTTTTTTAAATCAATGAACTTTTCTTCAAATTTAATGAACTTTTTTTCAAATTTGAGAAATGTTTCAAATCCATGAAAAAAAGTCATGATTTTTTTTCAAAGCCAACAGTTGACGGGTCAAACCGCGACCAGTGACTAGCGAACGTAGTAAGCGGCCGTGTTTGGCCGGCCCAGGTTCGCGGCTGGAGCTCTGTATAGGAGCGCCTCGTCCACACGAGGGGTCAGCCTCAAAAGTCACAACTAATTATTTGAGGAACATGTTGGGCCGAGATACAACCGGTTCACTGCAGCGTGCAATAAAGTACAAGTTATGCCTGTTCGTTTATAAGTACCACATCGCTTAAGTAAGTTGGATCAAATATGTTTATAGCCTTGTGTTGACGTGAAAGCAATCACCAGGCGGCTGGCCTCGTTAGCAATCTCAAACCTTGGTACTGATATTGATATATGCAATCATACTTCACAGGCACCTCGGATGACCACGCGACACGTTGTGGGGAGCTTTTTTTTATATGGATCGTCCACTGACATTCTCATCATCACCTCAACTTCCTTAAAGGGTCATCTTTCTTTTTTCTAAGCAAAATAAAAGACTATTTGGATTTCTTTACCATGCATGGAATCGCTTGTTTGATTTCACTTATCAAAAATGGAAAATGATCTGGAATGGTCGGCGCAATGGTGGAAGTGGTGGCCAGGAGTCAACGACAGTGCAAGCGGCGTGCACACGTGCGGAGAGCTCGACGGCATGGGCGGCGCACCCGAAGGTGCAACCATGGGGCGGCGAGCTGCAATTGTTGTTGCCCGGTGCTACGAGGCGACGGTGTTGAGCGACGACTTGTCCAACGCTGGAGCTGCAAATGAGATGGCGATGGCTAGGGATGTGAGTGGCGGTGGGTGGTGCCTCAACGACGAAGGTGATGCTGCAAGCATCGTCAACGAAGAGGCCTTGTGCGTCCATAGTAGGGGATCTGTGGCGCTCTTTGTCGCTCTCCCCCCGTGCTCGATGG